ATATATATGTGTTAGCATACGGTATTTGTTTTTCTCTTTCTGACTTACTTCACTCTGTATGACAGACTCTAGGTCCACCTCACTACAAATAACTCAATTTCGTTTCTTTTTATGGCTGAGTAATATTCCATTGTATATATGTGCCACATCTTCTTTATCCATTCATCTGTCGATGGATACTTAGGTTGCTTTCATGTCCTGGTTATTGTAAATACTGTTTCATCTTTAATGGTGACATTTCATGACAACCATTAAGGGGTCTGAAGGAGATGAAGCCCCCTGGAACTGCATGCCCTCTGCTCCTGTGAGATGTCTTCTTAGCGGTTCACAAGCCTCCTCTCAGATTCGAGCTCCCTCTTTTTGGCTGAGCTCTCTGACTTTATTCAGGATCTGTTTTCCTGAAGGCATTGTCCTTTTGGTGAGTACTTGTTTGATTTTCTGAACTTCTAAGTTAACATTATGGGATCCCACAAACACTCTCAGGATGGCCCTTCCTTTGGAACCCTGGCCCATTCTGTGTTTAAAAACTATGGTCCCTCCTCACTTGCATTTTTAATGAAATGGACTGACCTAACCAAAGATAATTTAGAACTTCAGTGGCCATTATGGCGAAGCTTCAATCTCCCCAAATTTGTTTCTCTCAGAACTAAACTTGAGGACCAAAACTCTAAAATACAACAAATTGAATGGGATACCTATTTCAGTTGACATCTTGAGGCTTTACAAAAAAACCTTTCTAAATTGACAGGGGTGAATAAACCATTACAAGAAGATTAAAACGCATTGAAAGACCGGCCTGTTGTTACTGTGAGAAGTCAGGACACTGAAAAAAAGGCTGCTATAAACTAAATGGTCCAGGAGTCTTCAGTCACCCAACCAATCTTTCCAATGTCCTTCCACATCCCAATGATGGGACTCCGAGGAATCACAGGGGCTTTCCCCAACCCTTCTCCAGGCTGGGAATGACTTTCCACTGGGGCTACTATTAAACAGCCCCTGCTTCAGAATACTGAAATGATTCATATAGTGGGGATCTCTGATAAACGTCAACAAGTCAAGAGAAAAAAAACCATTGCATCAAAAATGCTTAGTGCCCTTTGAACAAGACCGAACAGACTGGTGATGACAAAGTGAGAGAGCAGGTTGGCACCCTGTTGAAAGTGTTGCATATCGTGAATTTTAACACCAGTGTGCAGACTTTAAAGTTGCTTTTCTCCCAAGTAATGAATTCTCCACAGATGATAGCAGACCAAAATTATGCAGCATTGCGTGGAAGACGTTGATCCAGGGATGATGTTTATTCCTAAAATACAGCCCAGGAAAATCTGTCCTCACTGCTTCTAGGCACTTTACGTTGCCTGATGGACCATGCGAGCCTTGGCGAATGGATTTCATACGGCTTCCCCCACCTCACGGGCGTAAATACGTCTCGGCAACGATTTGCATGTTTTCTTTCTGGACTGAAGCTTCTCCATGTAGACAGGCTACTGACTCCTCCGTGGCTAAGAACCTATTGGAAAAGATCATTCCTACCTGAGGGAGCCGCCCCCAAACTTCATAGCGATAGGGGAACCCACTTTACTGGTCAAGTGTGACAAGAAGTCTGTGCCATATGGCCAGTTCTGCAACGTTTTCACCGCAGTTATCATCCCCAGTCTCCAGGACTAGTCGAATGTACCAATGGCATCATCAAAACCCAACAGGAAAAATCTGTAGAGACCCTTCAGATACCCTGGCCAAAAGCATTGCCATTGGTCCTTCTGAACCTTAGGGTCACTCCTTTCGGAACCCACAAACTATGCTTAACCATATATTAGAACAATCTTTCCATGGCATGCTCCCAGGACATGAAGACCTTAAGCACCATACCTTACAACCTGGAGAGTTGTCTATTGGAAAAGACATCACTCTCTTCAACCCCACTGGAAAGGTCACTATCAGGTACTGTTAACCAACCCTTGTGCCACGAAACTCCAAGGAATAGGCTCTTGGATCCATATATCACATCTAAAGAAAGCACCAAACCCTGACTGGACCTACATCCCAACTGGTGACCTAAAAGTAAAGATGTGCAAGAATTGAAGCATACAGTAGCTTAAGGAAACAGCTTTCCCATGATGACCGGCCTGTATATCTTTTCCTTACTCTTACTTCTTGCCTTATCTTCTCCCTCTCTTTCTTGGAAAGACAATGCTCTTACCCATATTTCCTAATCCATTGCCAAAGGGGGAAACCTTCTGACTGTTGAATATGTTACCAGAAACCTCGATATGTCCATGACAGTGGTGACCCTCTGGTATTAAGTCTGATTGATGTAACGAAATAGCCCCTCTCTTTGCAGCCTTTAGGGACAAAATCCACAGAACAGAATGTTTTCTTCTTAAATATTCCCCAAACGTCATTGACTCTTGGCTCTAAAGGACCAACTGGTAAATTCCAGTTAGTGGCACTGTTAATAAGTCTTATGTGCACCACCTGGCTTTAGCCCTGTCTGTGGCAAATGAAACTCTCAATGAGCCTATGAATGTTTGGACAGCTGGTAAATGGGAGGCCAGTGTTTGCTGGGATATTTAACCATCCCTGTTAATATCTATAATAAATCTGAAGCTTCCCACTGATCTTCCCCATTATATCTTCGTAAGCATCTTAAATGGGAACTACCTGGGGCATACATGACTCCGGGCTTGCCTCCATAGCGAGAGGCTTTCCCCCTCGGGTCAAAGTTCCAATGAGAATATGAACATAAATCTCTCCCTAACATTAGAAGAGCTAGCTGATTCTGCAGGCTGACAATGATCACTTGATTCCTTGGCTAAAGTAGTTGTAGACAAGCAATAGCCTTGATTTTGAACCAGGTGGCATTAGCATATACCACCTGTTGCATATGGGTAAACGCCTCTGGAGAAGTAGGAACTCAATTATACGAGAACAGGGAACAAGTGCACTTGCTAGTTGACTACTTTAGGATCATGACTTAAAGCCATCATACAAACAAAGTCATATTACTTTTAATTTGCTTTGTATAATCTTAAATTTTTGCACCTTTGCCTGCCCAACCTCTGCAGAAACTATGCACCAAACAGAATGTTGACTCAACACGATGCTTTCAAGGAAAGATTTTGATCAAAAGGGGAAAATGTGAAAAGGAACAAAGGAAACCTAAATCAAAATGGAGTCAGGAAGCCATGAAGAGAGGGCTGTCACACACAAATCACTCCCTGCCGCTTACAGATCACAGCAGGAAGAAGGGTTTCCTTCTGACTCAGCAGCAAGAAGCTGCTCACCAGTTGCAGCTAACAAAAAAGAAAACTGCCACAGCCCTATCCAGTTTCCTCCTAGAACCTAACGAAAGCTGACCTTCCCTTTGTCTCCTCTGACATGCCTATGGTTCACCATAGTTTGTTTCTCTCAAATTGTAATTCCTCTGCTATTCCTGAATAAACTCATTTTGGCTAGCTTAAGACCTCGTTGTTTTTAAGATCAACACGTCGCATAAACTGCATCTATGATGGCGATGATGATGATGATGTTTGGCAACATCTCTCATCTCTCAAGCATCAGGAAGGCATCATGTTCACTCCTCTCCCCAATAAAGGGAGAGTGGCTTTCCTCCGAAAGCTTCCCTATACATTTCAGTTTTCACACAGCTCAATCTGGCCTGTGGATGAATTTAGATGGAATGAATCTGGAGATATCAGGCTGTGGATATGACAAAGTAGGAGGAAAAAGGCACCCTGCTGGCCTGTTCCTGGGCCAGAACTGGAAGTATTGAGAGGGGAGGGTTGGACCTCTGATTCCCTCAACTGTCCCCAGCATTCTGTCTCAGAATTTCTCCAGTCTCTCCAGGGTTCCTGAATGTGGCTTCAACTGAGCACCTCCTCTGATCTAGCCACTGTGCCGGTCTCTGGGAAGACAAAGTCAAGGAATGTCTGGTCTGGCCTGTGTCACTTCCCCTCTCTGGGCCTCCATTCTCTCCTCTGTAAAAGGGAGTGAGGAGTGAGTGGGAGGGTTGGGGGAATGAGTGGGGACTGACGGAAGTTTGAGGATGGAGGTGCTAGATGAGCTCTGGGGTCACCTCCTACGGATGGCCACTCTGACAGGCTTAGCCTTGCAGACCTGGCTGTCCCTTTTCCTGGTTCTAGCTCCACCCTTCCAGCTCCTCCCCACTCCCCACATTCTCCATAGTTGAGAAAGAAACAGAGTGCCTAGGAAAGATGCCTTTTCCTGTCTCCAACCTCCAGGGCACACCCCACCCCTCCCAGTGCAGAGTGTTGTCCACTTCTCCTCACTGGAACTAGAGACTCCTTCACCTAAACCCAGGCTCACCCTTTCCTTAGGTCCTAACTAAACCTCTTAGCAAAGAGTTTAAATAATTTATCCCCCGGTCCCATCTCCTATTTAGTGTATTCTGTGCCAAGCACTTTCTGTACATTATCTCAATTAACGTCACAAAAATCCTTTGGGATGGATGTCATCCACCTCAATTTGCCAACAAGAAAACAGGGTGGAGGAGGTTAAGCAAGTTGACCAGGATCGCCAACCAGGAAGTGACAGCATCCAAACGGCCCAGCCTCCTAACTCACTTCTTCTGGTTCTGCCCCGAGGGGGTGGCAAACAGGTCTCCAGTGACATTGCAGAGCCCTGAAGCGCCCTTCAGACCAGAACCTCCTCGTTCCTTAACTCCTAGATCCCGCCCTTTCCCACTTCAGCAGGGTTTGCGGTAAGGCCTAGAGGCCTAGAGCAAGTGGCTGGATTCAAAGTGAGAAGCCACAGTCACCTCGCCGACCCCAGGGCCCCTGCACCCAACTCGCAGGGAAAAGCTGGAAGGTGCAGGGTACCTGTGCCCTCTGCGGAGCTGCCGGGGATTTGGCCAAGACCAGGTGCAGCCCGCCCCCGGACCGGGGTCGGGGCGGAGACAGGGCTGAGGGGGGCGGAGACAGGGCTGAGGGGGGCGGGCCCGGGTGGGGGTCGGGGCGGAGCCGGGTACCGAAGAGGGGGCGGGGCTAGGGCTGGAGTCCGGGCGGAGCCTGGAGCAGGGGCGGGGGGAGCCGGGGCCGAGGTCCAGGACCCCGTTGGGGCACGCCCGGGGACCTGAGCAGGGCCAAGGTCTCGAGGGGTCAGGGCGGAGTTGGGGACTGGAGTGGGGCCGGGGCCGGGGCCGGGAGCCCAGGGCGGGGGCGGGGCCCGGGTAAGGCGGGGCGGGAATGGTCTTCCGAGTTGCCAAGGCGGGAGGGAAAACAGTAGGCGGAGGAGAGGAGGACGGGAGAGGGGAGGAGGGAGGAGGGCAGAGGGAAGAGGGCAGAGGGAAGAGGGCCGTGACTTGGCAGCTCCAGCTTCGCTCAGCTTCGCTCCGCGCACCCACGCCTCGCTGCCCCGCTTCGTGCCCCCCACCCGGGCATGCGCCCCCCGAACCCCCGGCCACCCAGAGCCCGCGCCGCCCCCCAGAGCCTTCGCAGAGCCGGCTGCGCAGGATGGGCGCCCTCGGTCCCAAGCCGCCGCCGCTGCTGCTGCTGTTAATCCTGGGTAAGCCCGGCTCTGGCTCCCAGCCCCGCCCGGCAGGTGCCTGCCACCTGGTGACCAGCCCTGCCCTCCTCTCCAGCATTTCGGAGCCCCTCGCACCCCCTTCTCCGTCAGGGGCTCCCCCAGCCTTCCCGGGCCTGGCGCCCAGCTGCTGTCTGTGGCCGCGCTCCGGGCCAGTCTTGGGGCGGGCGGGGGTGGGGTAGCGGTGAAGGCTCCCCAGTTCTAGGCCCCGGGCTGGGGCACAGTGAGGACCCACCGGATGTCGCCCCCAGGAACCGCCAGGCCCCACTTCTCAGCCGGCACACTCAGGTCCTGAGGTCGCTGCGCACAAATGCTGCGACTCCTCTCTGCCTCACTTAGCTTAAGGCCCAGCCTTGCGTGCTCGCCCTGGTGGGCAGTGCCTGTCCATCTTTATAATTGCCCAAGTTGGCTGGAGGCCCAGGGGCCGGTTCTGCCCACAATCTTTGAAGTACGTCTACCCTAACTGCACCCCCCTACCACCCCCCTTCATCATCTGAAGTTGGAGGCAGTTCCATCTCCATCCTGGGCTGGGTCTTTCCCCCACTTTCCCTCTCCCAGATAGCAGCACTTGGCTCTGTAGCCTCCCACTGGTTGTCACACCCCCTTAGTCCCAGCTTCCCTGCCTCAGGAGAAACCAGGCTCCATGGAGACTGATGCTGAGATCTCCAAGCACCCTGTACCTGTTGTGGTGGGTGTTCATGGTGGGATGTTCTGGGCCACCGCTGCATGGATGCATGAGGACCGTGACAGTGAAATGTTTTTGGCGTGAATGGGAGGGCTCCCTGTAGGGATGGTCTGGGGAGGAGTGTGGTATCGAGGCAGTGAGACTGCCTGTACAGATGTTCAGGAGACTGAAACCCTTGAAGTAAGAATACAGGGTGGTGAGGGGGTGGCTTTGGTGCCAGGATTTGGAGCTGCCATAGTTAAGGCAGAGGCTGACGTAGCTCCAGCCGCCTGTTTCTAGACCAGAGCTCCATCGTGGTGCCAAGGAGCCTCCCTGTGCTGCATAGGTCCCTGGGCCCTGGGGGACTAGAATGAGTCCTCTCCTTGGGGCCCTGGGTGGGAGGCAGGAGGATATACAGAGGAAGGAGCTGTGAGGCCTGGCTGCCTAGTATTTGGCCCTTTTTCCCCAGTGGGCAGCGTGGAGCAGAGAGGAGCCCAGGGTAAATGTGGTGCAAAGAGACAGAAGAGCTTGCCGAGATGTGAGCGCCCTGGGTGTAGGTGCTTAACTTTCATTTTGAAGATGAGGAAATGAAGTCACTTGCCCCAGAGAACATATCTAGTGAGTGTTGGGGCTTGGATTTGAAACCACTCCCACGTGACTCCAAAGCAGGTCTCTTTGCTCTCCTTTCCCTCTCCGCTAACACAGAGGAGGGGACCTGGCTGGGGAGAGAGCTGCCTGGCAGCTGGTTTCCCAAGGCAGTGGGGGTGACTTTCCCATGGGGATCTCCAAGCATCAGCATTTGTGGAGCCAGGAAGATGGGAGGGGGCCCTCCTGAGCAGAGTCTGCCCAGAGCCCAGGGAAGGTGTCAGCTCGGTGTCTCCGCCATCACTCTGATTATGAAACATCCTCGGGCAGGGCCTTGCTGAGACACAGGCTCACTCACTGTCAGGGTGGAAGCTCTTAGCTCTCTTCCAGAAACTGAGGCCTGGGAGTGGAAGGGGCTGGTCCAAGCTGTACAGCTGGGGATGGGGATGGGGCTGGGGCTGGAACTGGAACCCGACCTCCTGATCCCAGCCTGTGCTCTAACCGAGCAACCACAAGTTTTCCCTCTGAGTCAGCCGCAGGAAGAAGGGAAAGGTAAGGGTAGTGCTTCTGGAGGAGCTGGAGGACAGTTTGACTACAGATTAGGTGTTTTCCTCCAGCCGGTTATGCCCCTGGGAGTGACATTCTGGTTGGTGAGGTCAGTGCCCTCAGGCCTCTCCTTGGAGTTCCCCATGCCTCTCTGGCTTTGTCCCTCTGCAGGGGCGTGTGGAAGCTAGCCAAGGATAGTAGGAACTTGGCCAAGACATTATACTTCTTGTACCTTAACTTTCTCATCTGTAAAATGGAGGCAGAGGGCTGACCCAGCCCTTCTTACATTCTGAGGTTCTGTGATCTGGGGCTGTGGAAGGATGGAAGGAGAGAAGGAAGAAGCTGAGCCCTCCAAGGCCACCGGGAGTATCTGCGAGGGCAGGGTAGGGGTGAGGGTGGGGTGAAGAAGAATTTTGGCCTCTTTGAGGAGAGAAAGATGGGAAGGGGCAGCTGGGGGGTTATTGCCGCCCTACTGAAAGGGATCGGGGATGTAAATAAATGCACACCATATGCAAATGAAGGCTTCTGTTAGGGAGTTGGAGGGGGTGGGGTGAGGGTTGTTTGTCAGCTGGGCCTGCCCAGGAAGATTGGCAGGCACTGGTGGGGGAGGGGAGCTTCTGCCTCCAGAGGCAAAGGGCAGAGGCTGGTTCTTACCCCATGAGCCTCAGCTGCCTCGGCAGCCCTGTGGGGCAGAGAAGCAGTGAGCTCATGGCACAGCTGGAGTGGGGAGGGATTGTGTGGTGAGAACTGACTGGGCCTGTGCTCTGTCCTGCTCCGGCCATTGGCTCCATTGTCTGGAGTCCCCTGGCCCAGGTGACACAGCTGAGCGAACCAGCCCTTCTGATCAAGATTTTGCCAGCTCCCTTCAAACAAAGGACGGGGACATGTGGTCTCAGGATCCCTTAGCTAGAAGGCTCAACTGGCATAAACGTGGGGAGACGGGGTGGAGGGGGAATTAAGGCACAGCCGGAATCGGGAATGGTTAAATCAGGAAGCAGATACACTCCTTTCTGACCTTAGATGCTCTGCTTCTGGCCTGCCAGTAATGGGGTGTTTCTGGGGTCTGAGGCAAACCTGGCTCTATACCACCACCTCCTTGAGACCCAGGTGTCTTACCTCCCAGCTTCCTTTGCCTGTTCTTGGAACAGGGCCCAAGTGTATACCAACTTTCCTCAGGTTTCCTTTCCTTTCACAAGCAGAGGTCAAGAGTGATGCGGGGGTGGGGGTGGGGGGATGCAGTAGGGACCCAGGCATCCCTAACTTCTCCTGTCCTTCCCTATAGGAGTCGGGTGCTGTGCCCGGGAGGTGCTAGTCCCTGAGGGGCCCCTGTATCGCGTGGCTGGCACAGCCATCTCCATCTCCTGCAATGTCACTGGCTACGAGGGCCCTGCCCAGCAGGACTTCGAGTGGTTCCTGTACAGGCCTGAGGCCCCAGAGGCTGCCCTGGGCATTGTCAGTACCAGGGATACCCGATTCTCCTATGCTGTCTTTGGGCCCCGAGTGGCAGCTGGTGAGGTACAGGTGCAGCGTCTGCAGGGTGATGCCGTGGTGCTCAAGATTGCCCGCCTGCAGGCCCAGGATGCTGGCATTTACGAGTGCTACACACCCTCCACTGATGCCCACTACCTGGGCAGCTACAGCGGCAAAGTGGAACTGAGAGGTACTGGGCCCTGGGATGGGGTCAGGGCCGTGCCCTCCCAAAAGGCAGAAAGTCAGGGCCAGCAGGGACCTAAGAGGAACCTGAGGCCCAATGAGGTTAAGTGACTTGCATGAAGTCACCCAACAAGTTAGTGGCTGGCCTGAGACTCTAACCCAGAACTCTGGGTTAACTCCCTTCATTTCAGTCCACTGCTCTTATTCTGTCAAGCTACTTCCTGGGAGAGAAGAAGTGTCCTTAAGCTGTCCAGCACCTTTCCATTCCCTGATGGGGTAGGGGAGCCTGATAGGGTGAACAGACTCCATTCCTGGAGATTCCAGGATCCAGATCTGGGGGAGTGGGGGTGGCGGGGGAAATAGAGGCAGGGTAGGAGGAGTGAGACCACATGACCTTCTTGCTCTCAAGTTTCTTTGTCTTCTGAGAGGGAAGACAGAGCCACTCTTCTGAGTATTTCAAACAGGGGTCAGTCTCAAACATAAGGGTCAGTAGGCGATGGGCTGGTTCTATGAAATTCAACAAGTATTGAGTGCCTGTTGTGTGCCCAGCACTGTGCTTGGCACCATTGCGTTACAGAAGAAATAATACAGCATGAAGTCTCTGCCTTCTAGGAGCTCACAGTCTATTTAGGGAAATAGGTTGTAGGTAGGAAACAGTACCAAGGGTTAGTTACCGTACAGCTCCCAGCCCTCCCTCACTCCAGCTGTTCTCTCCAGTTCTTCCAGATATGCTGCAGGTGTCTGCTGCCCCCCCAGGGCCCCGGGGCCGTCAGGCCCCGACTTCACCCCCTCGCCTGATGGTGCACGAGGGGCAGGAGCTGGCACTGGGCTGCCTGGCACGGACGAGCACGGAGAAGCACACACACCTAGCCGTGTCCTTTGGGCGAGCTGTGCCCGAGGCGCCAGTGGGGCGAGCAACTCTGCAGGAAGTGGTGGGACTCCGGCCCGACATGGCCGTGGAGGCCGGAGCTCCCTATGCTGAGCGGCTGGCGGCAGGGGAGCTGCGGCTGGGCAAGGAGGGGACTGAGCGCTACCGCATGGTGGTGGGGGGCGCCCAGGCGGACGACGCAGGCACCTACCACTGCACTGCCGCTGAGTGGATTCAGGATCCCGATGGCAGCTGGGCCCAGATTGCGGAGAAGAGGGCTGTCCTGGCCCATGTGGACGTGCAGACGCTGTGTGAGTGCCACGCGTCCCATGGTGCCAGCTGGGAGCCTTGGTATCTCAGTAGGCACCATGGGCACTAGATGGCTATCGTCTGACTCCAGGGAGCCCACCTTCCCTAGAGTGAAGTCCCATTAGTATCGCTTCCTGTTAGCACCTGTACCCATGACGGGCTTTCTCTGCTCAGAAATTGGGTGTGGGGATGGGAGGGCGATGGCTGAGGCGTGAGAGCCAGGCCCCTGGGTGGCAAAGACGGGTGGCCTCGAAGTTGCTGCTATCAAGGAAGGACAGGTGCTCTGTGCCCTCTCCTGCCTCCCTGACACCCCTTCCCCTCCTGTGTTTCAGCCAGCCAGCTGGCAGTGACAGTGGGGCCTGGGGAACGTCGGATCGGCCCAGGGGAGCCCTTGGAGCTGCTGTGCAATGTGTCAGGGGCCCTGCCCCCAACAGGCCGTCATGCCGCCTACTCCGTGGGCTGGGAGATGGCACCTGCAGGGGCACCTGGGCCCGGCCGCCTGGTTGCCCAGCTGGACACGGAGGGTGTGGGCAGCCTGGGCCCTGGCTACGAGGGCCGGCACATTGCCATGGAGAAGGTGGCTTCCAGAACCTACCGGCTACGGCTGGAGGCTGCCCGGCCTGGGGATGCGGGCACCTACCGCTGCCTCGCCAAGGCCTATGTCCGAGGGTCTGGGGCCCGGCTTCGGGAAGCCGCCAGTGCCCGCTCCCGGCCCCTCCCCGTGCACGTGCGTGAGGAAGGTGAGAGGGGGCGGGTTGGCCCTGGACAGGATATGGGGTCTGCAGAACGTTTCCCTTCTGTTTCTGTGCCTCTCTCCCTCTCCATCGGCTGCCTCCGTGTCTCAGTCTCACACTCCTCTTCTAAGATTGTGGGAGCACCCGGAGTTTCTGGGGTGTTGCTTGGACAGCAGTCCTAGCCCCATGCCCCTTTCACCTTCTGACTTTTGTTCTGCAGGTGTGGTGCTGGAGGCTGTGGCCTGGCTAGTGGGAGGCACAGTGTACCGCGGGGAGACGGCCTCCCTGCTCTGCAACATCTCTGTGCGGGGCGGCCCCCCCGGGCTGCGGCTGGCTGCCAGCTGGTGGGTGGAGAGGCTGGAGGACGGGGAGCTGAGCTCTGCCCCTGCCCAGCTGGTGGGTGGCGTGGGCCAGGACGGTGTGGCAGAGCTGGGGGTCCGGCCCGGAGGAGGCCCCGTCAGCGTGGAGCTGGTGGGGCCCCGAAGCCATCGGCTGAGACTGCACGGCTTGGGGCCCGAGGACGAAGGCGTGTACCACTGTGCCCCCAGCGCCTGGGTGCAGCATGCTGACTACAGCTGGTACCAGGCGGGCAGTGCCCGCTCAGGGCCTGTCACGGTCTACCCGTACACACATGGTGAGTGGTGCCCCCCCTTGCTCATGCGCCCCCAGCCCCCCTCACCCCCATGCTCTTGTTCTCCTTTTTGCATCTCATCCTCCTGCTAGTGGTCCCTCTGGTTCCTCTTTCTCTTCCTCTTTGCTTCACACGGAAAGTCTGAAAGTCCGGCTTTCAGCCCTTCAGTGCCCGGCTGCCCCGGTGTCCTGGTGGTAGGGGCTGGCTTGAGCGCAGAGCGGGCAGGGAGCAGGTGGGGGAAAGCTGTGTGGGAACGGGAGGAGGTGGTGTGGACAGCCTGACCGAGAAGGTACTGGCACGTGGGTGGAGGGCAGTGACACCCCAGACTGAACACAGCCATCCTCTCTCGCCCAGCCCTGGACACCCTGTTTGTGCCCCTGCTGGTGGGTGCAGGGCTTGCCCTAGCCATCGGAGCCACCATCCTGGGCTCCATCACCTGCTGCTTCATGAAGAGGCTGCGGAAACGGTGATCCCTCACACCCCAGGTGAGGGGCAAGGACCCCCATCCCCATCCCTGTCTTCCCTAGTCCTGAGATGAGCAGCTCCCTCCCTGGTCCCAGCTGGAGAAGGAGAAGCCCCTCTCAGCTCTGCGGGCCAGGGCCAGGAGGAATTCACACTCTCCTTAGGCCCCTCCACGTGCGCTCTCCCGTTCCTGCAGGTGTGACTATCTTCCAGCCCAGCCGCAAGCCCACCTCTGGTGTCTGAATACCCTCTCCCTCTGCCTGCCCTTCCTTTAATTTATTTGACCTACTCCCACCCAGAGTGGGGGACACGGCCCCCATGCCCCACTCCTTCCTTCCCAAGCTCCTCCCTCTGGCCTTCTGTTCATGATCTCATACATAGCCCAACGGGAGGCCGTTCCCTGTCCTAGAATTAGTTTTTCTAAAATGTGAATAAACTTGTTTTATAAAATGCAGGGCTGGCTGTGTCTTCCCCGCTATGAGGCTCTAAGAGGCAGGGGCGCGTGGCAGGTGGGCTACTGGGGGCTGACAGCCTCTTCTGGACGACCCGCACTTCTCTTCCCCCCCAGAAACACCATCTGGCCACCATGGGCCGTGCCACCTACCCCGGGAGGGGAAACCTGGGTCCCATCTGCTGTCTGAGCTGTCAGTGCAGAGCCAGTTCCTGTTGGGATTCCTCCTTGGGGTAGGGAGAGAGAAAGGGGGATGAGTTCCAGTTGAGCACGGCCTCTGCCCCTAGACGTCTCCTAGGTTGCAGGGCAGGGTCTTCCAGGGCCCGGTGCCCTTTTCTGAGTCCCCACGCTATTCTGCAGTCTCATTCTCTCCGTCAGGCTAATCTTGGACCTGACTCCTCCCCCCAGGCCCTGGGGCCTCAGCCTTTCTCCTCCTGATCTCCATTATTCTGCCAGACAGCAGCAGAATGGAAGGCCCAGAACACAGCCACCTAGGCGACGGGGACGCCAGCAGTCAGAGGGGCCCCTGCATACACCCGCCCCACCACCTGCGCGCAAGCCCCCTTGCTTCACCCATCCTCCCGTGCCCCCGGGGCTCCCTGCATTTGTCTCTGCCTAAGGATTCTCGGATCCTAGAATTCTTAGCTGCACCGCACCTCGAGAGGCACGCAGTCTACCTCTTTCAACTCAGTGATTTAAACATTTATTGAGCATTACCAGTTTACCAAGTGTTGTTTTTACAGATAGGGAAACTGAGGCCCAGAGAAGTGATGTGACTTGCCCAGAGTCATAGAACTAATTCGTGACAGTGTCAGGCCTAGAACCCAGGTCCCCAGACTCCTTGCACTGCACACAGTGGGGCCCTGAGTGGTCGCTGAGTGGCAAGGAGAGGGGTGGCGGGGTCTCAATGCCTTCCATCCAGCCTCAGTTCCTCTACGGTGGGTTCACTTGCAATGGGTGAACTACTGCGTGAGTGAGTGCGGACACCCAGAGCCCGCTCCCTCCTGTCTAGACTCCAGATGTTTCAGCAAATTAAACCAGAACTGTTTCTTACCCCATGCCCCAACATTTGTTCTTTGGGAACAGCCAGCACCAGTGTTCAGGGACCTCATCTTTGGGTGATAGTGACCCAAGTCACCATGTGACCTGAGGCAAAGCTGTTCTCTCCGAGCAGACCCAAGCTGGCGTGGGCTCCCTCCGCAGCCCCCTTTCCTGCTTCCAGGAGGCACAGCATCCCCCAGGACCCCAGCTTCCCAGCCTGGAATGCAGCACACTGGGGTGCTTCCCCGCAAGGGGCTCAGACTTTTGTTAAAGAACAGGAATGGGGTACAGCCAGGGCCAAGGGCTGGAGGTCACTGCTGGGCCCGTGTGGTGGGAGGGTGTGTCTGCCTGTGTGTACACGTCTCTCCCAGAGGCAGGTCCCCCTACCTCTGCCCCTTCTCGACTCGCCATTGCTCCTCCTTCACAATCCTGGGGTGGGGGGGTGTCCCTGGTGACCGCGATGACACCAGGAAGGGGGTGCACGTGGCATGGGAACACCTCTCCAGGGGCTCCTGCCCCAGCTGGGCAGACAGCAGGTCACAGTCACATCCAGACATTTGGACTCTCGCTTCTCTCTCACATCTTCTCCCACATTTAATCCTGCCTCTTAAGTCCTACGTGGGATTCTCTCCTTTGCCACAGATGCCCTTCCTACTTCAGCTCGCCACCACCTTGGCAGCACTTCCCCTGAAGCCTTCCTGACTGCTCTGTCCCATCTATCTTGCCTACTCATCTTGCCCAAACACCATCTCTAGCTTGTCACAGCCCTATTTCCACTGACGGGTGAGTCCCTAGGCCCAGAGTCAGACAATTCAGCCTTGGTTTCACGGTCTCCTTTCCCCCCACCGCAGTTCTCCATACCCATTATATTTCAGTCTCCTCCCCAAGGACCCTCAGCTACTCCTCAGCTTGATGCCCACCTCCTGACAGGACCCCCAAGTCTGCTTAGGGAAGGGCTTCTCGGAGCGTGGTCCCTGTTCCAGCAGCGTCAGCAGGACCTGGGACTTGTTAGAAATGCAAAGTTTTGGTCTCTACCGCAGACCCATTAAGTCAGAAACTCTGGGAGTGGGACTCAGCCATATGTGTTCCCAAGCCCTCCAAGGGACCCTGATGCCCACCCAAGTTCGTGACTGCTGGCTCAGGTCACTCTCCAGGCCTGACGCAATCCCTAGCTTTCTGATTACCAAGCCCTTCCACCCCGTGCTTGGAGAGATCGCCCAGGTTCTCAGTTTGAAACAGCTGCCACAGGCATATTTCTCTGTTTTCCCCACGTGTACTGTATTCCTAGAATAGGAATCGGGTCTCTGACTGTCCTCCCCACACATGCCTGGGTCAGTGCTCTGGACCCAACGGGCACCCAGTGAACCACGTGAACGACTCCCTCTCACTGTGCCCTAGGACTGATTCTGCTTTCCTGAGGACCCCGTGTCCCAGCTCTAGTGAACTCATGTTTCTCCATCTCTCCCTGGCCCTTCTTCCTCCTCAGAACCTCTCTATCCCCTCCCACCCCTGCAGTGGTACTCACGAGACCTCACTTCACTGTCAGAAAATAGCCATCCCTTGTTCGCCTTTCCTAGGCCCTGCCCCAGGGCCCCAGCTCTGGCATCTCCCCCATCGCCGGTTTCCCTGCACACATGGACAAGGTCATTCACACCCTGCTGAGCCGCCCTGCAGCCTTTCACCCTCCCTCTCAGCCTGTCACAGTGGCAGGGGTGGAGCTGGGAGGGCACCCTCCTCATCTCTGCCCGCCTCCGTCCAGCTTTCTCACCTCTGGGTCAGCTTGGGCTACTGTGTCCAGTGAGACAGGTGCGCCAGACTCAGGGAAGCTGGCTGAGGAGGCGAGTGGGGACTAAAATCCAGCCCACACTCTGCTCCCCAAGCCATGCACCCTAGTTTGGGGTAGTGTCAGTCTGGAGGAAAAAGCCGCCTTTTTAGAATTTGCACCAAGATGCTCTATGAGTCAGCGGCAGCCCTGAGCACGCCACCTGTCTGTTGGTCTGTTGGCCCATTCACCTATCCACTGGCTGGCTGTCTCTCTCTGCTTCCACCTTCTCATCCAACCCGCATAGGTCCATCCTTCTGTCCATCCATCCACGCGTGAACAGAAGTGAAGGTCAAACACAGACAGGCTGGCAAGTTTACCCATTCCCCACCCTCCATTCTCCTGAAATCAGGATCTCTCCCATCCATGTTGGATCCCAGACCTGAGATTCTGAGGAGGCTCCCCAGCTTTAGTGCATTCCCAGGGACCTTGCCTGCGCCCTCCTCCACCTTCCATAACCAGCTCCCCAGGTACCTGTGTCTGGCCCTGCCACAGGGATCTGGAGGAAACTGGTCACACCTTGGACTCACTCTCCGGGGGTGGCAGGCAGCCATTCTGCTCTTTGTCAGCCCCAGCCTCTTCGCCCGCCCCCTCCCCCAGCCCCTCCTCCTCCACCTTCTCGTCCAGCCGGCTGGGGATGGACCAGTAGAGATGGGCGTCAAGGCGGGCTGCGGCCTCGGCCAGCTCCCGGGCGCTGCATGAGGGTGTGGGCACCTCAAAGGTCTGGTGGAAGCTGGCATAGTCTACCTCGTAGAAGCCATCCTCCAGGGTCAGCACTGACGTGAAGCGGTGACCCCACAGCACCTCATCCACCAGGTAGGAGCTCCGAGCTTGGCATGTCATTCCTGGGGGTAAGGGCATGGGTCAAGGGGGATCCCGGCCCCAGCCTTCCCTCCCCTGCCTCATTCCACAACCCTATTCCTAGAACCCTTCCCTGGAGCCCTCCTCAAGGACCCCCACCCACCCACTTTGGTCCAGCCCGCTTTCTCTTCCTTCCCAACTCTTGTACTTGTCCAGTTCCCCCTCCTCCTCTCCATTTGCCCCAACTCCTCTTAACCTCCAGCCCACATTCTCCCCTCCTCTCCACTGGAGATGCCAGTCAGAGAAGCTTAACCTTGAAACTGACCTTGGGGATCATCTAGCCCAATTTTCCTCTCCATACAGGGCTCCCCACTGGAGCATTCCCAATAATGGGCAACTAGCTTGCTCTTGATTACATCTCAGGATTGAGAGCTCACCACCTCACAAGGAGCCCACTCCTTTGTGTGACGGCTCTAATATTTGGGTTGTTCTTTATACAGAGCTAAAATCTGCCACCCTTATTTTCACTCTCCTGCTATGTGACACCCCTTCAAGTATCTGAAAGCAGGAGTCTCAGTTTTCATCATGTCTTCTCTCCTTCAGGCTGAACACCCCTGTGTCCCTCCACCATTCCTGATGTGACCTGGCTTCCAAAAATTTTACTTTCTTGACTGCAAACCAGAGTGGCCAAGGAGGATCCTTTAAGCACTCTGAGTGTGATAAATACTCCGACTGTGGCCTGATCCATGCATAAGAGAGGGCTCGCCACCTCTCTCTTCTGGCCATGATGCTTTAGCTAATAGGGCCCAAGATTACATTACATAAACATTTTTGGAAGCTGTATCACATTGCCTGTGGCCAACTAAAACCTCCAATTCTTTTTTCACCAGAGCTCTTCCATGCTGTGCTTACATAAGTGATTTTTTAAAGCCTAAATGTAGAACTTTATATTTATTCGTTTTAAATGTCATCTTGTTGGATTTTGGCTCATTTTACTTGCTTTTCAGAAGCATTTTGGATACTGACTCTCTCACCCAAAATATTACCATCCTTTCCAGCTTTGTCTCTCTAGAAAAATCCAACAAGCTCCCCTCCCTATCTCCTCCACCCCACCCTCCCCATATCTCCTCCACCTCACCCTCCCCTGTCCTCCTTGCTGTGGGCCTGTGTCCTGTTTTCTCTGTGGGGTGGGCACACCCACCGGGGCAAGTGATTTTCCTTCTACCCTGAGATCTCTCATATTCCCCTCAGCTCATACGCACCTCCGAACAAGGGAGAACGGAAGAGTGAACATTAGCTAAGCAGAGACTGGCTCTCAACATTGAAAGCCCTGCCCTGAGCAAACTTGGGGACATTCCTTTGTTCCTTTGGTGAAGACTGGCGTAGGAAATGTCCGGTAGAGGAGGGGAAGAAGAGGCAAAAGGGACACTGGGGAGAGGGGCTGCAAGGAAGAAAGGGAAGGGCTGGAGGTACAAAGGGAGAAGAGGGTTGGGCAGGGACTTCTCAGGTACCAGCAAAAATGTGCCAGCCGGTGAGATGAGAGGAAAGGAAGCAGGGTGCATGGGGGAGGGGGAAGGAGTTAAGGGAGTATGGGGGTGGGGAGAAGGAGTGGGGAACACTGAGGCAAAGAGCGGTGAAGTAGAGGCTCAGCCTGAAGGGCCAGGAAAAGGGTTTGATGGCACCAGTCTGGGAGAAGCCAGCAGGGGGCAACACTGGCAACAGTGGCAGGAACTGCGGGGCCCCCTGCTGGGCCTTTGGTTATCCCACTTGCACTTTTCTTCTCCACTTCTGGCTCTCAAGTCCCAAAGGACTCATTTCCTGCCCCTGCACTGGTCTTATCCTACCTGCTTCCAAACCTTTCACTGTATAAGCCTGAGTTGGAGGTTCTGACATCAGAGGTACATTGCTAGTTCCTTCTGGAAAGGGGCTTGAAATGTGCAGATCATCTATCCTTTGTCAGTGGAAACCGACGTGGGGAAACTGAGGCAGAAGTGAGCCCAGCTATCAACCTCTCCCTAAGGTCCAGCCTAGGAATAACTCAGGCCATGGAAAACCTGCACCATCACATTCCAGGGGCCTGGACCTCTCAGTACTGAGAAAAACCCGGAACCTATCCCTTCCTTCCTACTCTGCACCCTAAATGCTGAAGCCAGACTGCCTGGGTCCAATCCAGACGTGGCCACTTATTTAGCCTATGACTGTGGACAACTTAACCTTTCACTGGGGCAATTTCCTCCCTGAAAAATGAGCACAGTAAAAAGAAATTACCTTCATGGGGCTCCGATTAAATAAACCAGGAGGTGTAAAGTGCTTTGGAACCGTGCAGGGCACAGAGTAAGCACTGGGTGTTGTCTATTATCATTACTGTCTCCTATTCCCAGTGACACAGACCTCTCAGCCCAGGGCCCCAGGCCAGGGCCACTTTGGAGGATTCCTCCCAGCTTTCTCTCGCCTCTCTGGGTGGGTGGGTGGGGGGGGGCACTCTTTTCATACACCCCTCCCAACCCATCTCATCTCAGCTCTCATCCTCCACCAGCCTCTCCATCCACCCCCACCCCACCCCCCACCCCGCTTCCTCCGCCCTGGCCCCTCTGGGTCCAATTCCCCGCCCACCCGCTCCCCTCCTCTCCCTGCACTTCCTCCTCTCCCTTCTCCTTCAGCCCGCCCGCACCCGTGGCTTCCACCATGCCCTCGAGGATGACGACGATCTCGAAGTCGTCCCTCTCGAGGGCGCGGCGCGACGCCTCCCAGAAGGGGCTGGCGGCGTCGATCTCGTGGCTGATGACGAGCGGTGAGACGAGGAAGAGGCGGTCGTCGCCCGTGTCAAAGCCCACGCTGAGGTCGGTCTGGTGCAGCGGGATGAACTCGCCCTCGAGCGTCTGGCGCGAGCGGATGAGCTTGGCGCGGATGGAAGCCTCGACTATGTGCGACGAGCGCAGGTCGCCCACGCGGAACATGAGGCAGAGGCGCCCGTCGCGCAGCGACACCACGGCGTGCGAGGAGAAGACGAGCGTGGCGGCGCGCTTGTTGGGCTGCGAGATCTTGACGAACATGCAGCCCACCATGAAGGCGTTCACCATGGAGCCCAGGATGGCCTGCAGCAGCAGCAGCACGATGCCCTCGGGGCACTGGTCGGTGATGACGCGGTGCCCGTAGCCGATGGTGGTCTCCGTCTCGATGGAGAAGAGGAAGGCGGCCACGAAACCGTTGAGGTTGTTGACGCACGGCGTCCACGCCGTGTCCTCCAGGTGCTCCAGGTCGCCGCGGCCGTAGGCGATCAGCCACCAGATGGCGCCGAAGAAGAGCCAGGTGAGCGCGTAGGCCAGCACGAAGAAGAGCAGGCTCAGGCGCCACTGCAGGTCCACGAGCGTGGTGAACAGGTCGGTCAGGTAGCGGTACGTCTCGCGCACGTTGCCCTGCTGCACGTTGCAGCGGCCGTCCTTCTCCACGTAGCGCTGGCGGCCGCGGCGCCGCGGCTGCTCCTCAGGCCCCGGCGAGAAGGCGGCGTTCTCCTGCGCCATGGCCGTGGCCGCGGCGGGGAGGTCACGGCCCGGGCGGCGGCGCGGGGCCTGGAGGGGCTGAGAGGTGGGCCAGATTAGCCGAGCCGCGGGAGAGGCCGAGACGTCCGGGCCTGCGCCCAGGGGCCGGGTGGCCCAGAGCGAGTCCCTTGCTGTGTCAGCCTCAGCTTTCCGCATCGGTAGAATGGGAGCAATACACACAACCCTAGCCGTCCCCACCCCCAGCTCACAACACCGTGAAGATCAAATGGGATAGTGTGTATGAACTGGATCGCACTCTGCACGACTGAGTGTTTTCAGGGAAACGGGGTACCAGAGGTCTTGGTCCCACTGCTCTAACTGGGCTGCACAGCACCTCACGGCCACCCCCAGGCGAGAGGCCCAGGCAAGGAGGGAGCTTCCGGAAACGCTTAGGCTGTGGGTTCCTTCGAGGCAGGTGCTTAATCTTCCTCTCCTGTGCAGAGCCCTCCCTGCCCGAAGGCCACCCCCGCCCCACTCCGCCCTGGCTGATATCAGGCAGTCCCCTAATCCCTGTCTCCGCAATTCAACCTGCTGTCTAACCAGGCTCTTTGGAAGTTCACCTGGAGACTGACACAGAAAGTCTTTCCCATTCCTCCCTCCTTGGACCTCGCTTACTCTACCCCCTCCCACATCTTCTTCCTCTCAACAAGCTTACGAAGGAGAAATGGAAGTGGTGGAAAACGAGTGAAAAATCTCCAGTGGGCAAGGGTTGAACATTCCCACCTTGGGAAATTCCTACTGGAAATCCTCCCTGAGGACTGACCATGATCATTGCGGCTGTAGCGTCAGCCCCATTTCCCCTAGGTTATTTCCACAGTGGAGACAGCCTGCAAATGGGCAGGAGGACGGGAGAATATGAGATCAACACGGACAGCCGGGGTAAAGGAAGCACAAAGTTCAAGGTAGGCTTGCAGCCCTCTAGTATCCTATTCTTCATGAGCCATTAAATCAGATAAGTGATTTAAGCACACACCTTTAACTCCTTCCTCCCTTCAGTTCGCCCCTCCCTCCCCAGCCTCCCACCTCCCTTGACTATCCTTAAACAGCCCCCCTCCATATGCCGCAAAGCTCACATTCCAAGGGAAGCCTACCTGATTTTGCTTTAAGTTCTTCCCCGTGAGGAGCTCTCTGAGCTGCAGGCTGCCCTGAGAGAGAGAGACCCAGAGCCCTTCTCTAGGCACCCAGGGGCCCCTAGGAGGTATGGCTCGTATGAGGAAAGGTTAAGAATTCAGGACTTTTTTCAACTTTCCCTTCTTCTTGGGAATCATCCTCTTTCCCCACTCCAAGGAAACCTGGGCTGGCTCGAGTGGGGTGATGGAGGGGAAGAGTGTGACATAAGGACCACAGATGGCCTGGACGTTTGACCAGGTCCTGGGGAGAAACTGCCTGGGTATGTAACTCCAAACCCAGCACTCTCGAATTTAAATTCTGGAGTGAGGTGTTCTGCAGCCAGACCTTTGGAGGCTCTGTGTGTGTGTGTGTGTGTGTGCTGGGGTAGAGGGCAGGAGGAAAAAACAAAATGAGATGGCTTGGAGCTTAGGGGCATCCCTTACATTTCCAGGAGGAATCAGGGGACACAGGATCCAGGAACCCCAATGCAATGGCAGATTAGGGTCTTCCCCTCCCCCAACCATGAGCTTGCTTTTTCTCTTCCTGCAGCCCACGATGTCCTCGATTGGCTTAGAGATCACAGGTCATTCAGAGAAGTACCTGGGCCCACTTATTCCAGCTTCTGCCAAGGTGGGCTTTCGGATGTTCTCTCAGGGTCTTAGGTAATCTGACCCCCAATCTGCCTGCTGAGGCAGATTTCTCTGCCCAGGTGTGGGGAAGAAACGCCAGAGTCTGATGGCCCCCAGAACTCTCTCACCCGCCATTGCCCTGGGAATCTAGGTGAGCCTCACTTTGATTGTGTTTTATCTCCTGTCTTCGGGCTGCACTTTCTCAATGGGTAAGGAAAGGTGTGAAATTGTTGCCTCTACCTCAAGAGCAAAGACTCGATTTCTACACCTTCCCTCCAAAGAGTCCTGTTCCTCCAGCCTATTCCTCCTTATTTCATGTGCATGCTGTGTCCCCTTTCCAGAAGACCCCAGTGCTGCATTTTCCTGGATCTCCCTTTCTCTGGTTAGAGAGTGCTGGCCAGCAAGGGGGCTTATTTTTTGGAAGGGGATCAGGCGAAAACTCCCTCAGGAACCAGCTCTTCCCAAACCCCCACTTGCCTTGGAAATAGGGGCCCAAACCCAAGTCCCCTGGAACTCAACTCACAGCGTGTGGAGAGGAGAGTAGCCGGCAGCAGAGACCCCTGGGGGTGTAGCGTCCATGCCCCTGACACCGCCTCCCCCCCCACCCCAGCCCCCTTGGAGGGTGGGAGCCGCAGGCACCGCTGTTTCTCCTAAATGTAGCGGCAGCTCTGACTAGGACTTGCTATCTGTGTCATCCGCACTTCCCAGGCTCCCCTGCTCCTCTCCTGTTTCCACAGCAACCAGTCTGGCGACAGCTCTAGAGCATCCCCCTCCCCTCCCCAGTCCTGGGTACCACTAGAGGCTGATCCATACGCCATAGCTATTTTTAGCCAAAGTTCCTCCTCCTGGACAACTCAGAGCTCGCCTCCTCACCCCCTCAGGAAAACAAAACAAAACAAAAAAGAAAAGCTAGCATGCTGACTCTTTCCCAAGAAGCTCCTTGCTCTGGGAAAATACAGGCCTTGATGTGTTTGGAAATAAGGCATTTGGTTTCCTAGGGATTCACCTCCAGCCGGGCTTCTGGGTGCATGTGCTGCTCTCGGGTCAGGCCTGCCATCACAGTCTCCGTTTTTGGAGAGGTCACCCTGATCCAGAAGAAGGTAGCTAGAGGGAAAAGAGATCCACCCAAGGAAGGGAGGTAGGGTCAGAGGTTCTAATCTTTGTCACTGATTTGCGATGTGACCCATAGGAATCACTTCCCTTCCCTCAGCCACAGTCGCTCCATCTTTCACAAGACGTGGATATGTGCAAATAGCCCTTTCTGCCTACTTTACAGGGTGTGCAGATCGAATGAGGGAATATAAATAGAAGGGCTTTGAGGAGTAGTTTCTTAACAGCAAAAGGTCTAGAAACAACCCAAATGTCCAACAGAGAGAAAAGGCTAGTTTAGGGCTTACTAACTCTTCATTCAACAAATTTTTGTGGAGCCCACATGCCAGGTAATGTGCTAGGTGGGGCTGGTTACAGAAGTGGATAAGTCCCCGGCCACCAGGAGCTCATGGTCCAGTGGGGGAGAAAGATCCATAAGCACAGAATACTAACAAACACTACTCCTGAGAAGTGATTGAGCATCAGCTCTGAGCTAGACACGCACCTTATTCAACAACCCTGGGCGATACCCTATGAGACAGGTATTATTTTCTCTATTTATAGATGAGAAAATTAAAACTGAAAAAGGTTAAGTGATTTACCAAATGTCACAGAGTTGGATATCGGCAGAGAAGTAGTCACACTCATACACCTGTGTCACACCCCCACGCTCCGCTCCCTTGGTAATGCAATATTTGTGGCAAAGCAATATAATCAGTTACTATGTTCATATATGTAAATGTGCATGCAGGTACACTGTTACATAAAGACCAGGACATGAAAGTATTCTTTTTTATTTTTGCCCGCAGCACCACACGTCTTGCAGGATCCCAGTTCCCCAAACCTGTGCCCCCTGCAGTGGAAGCGTGGAGTCCTAACCACTGGACCGCCAGGGAATTCCCCAAAGTATTCTTATAAACTGATCATAACTGTATAGAAATAGCTTTAGGAATACTGATAAAAATCAGGAAAAAAATTGGAGAAATGGAAATACTTCAATGTTTATTTTCCCCAGGGAAGTAATTAAAAGCAGAGTGGTAGATGAATGCCAGGTGTTGCTAGTATCAGCATTATTATACCCAAGATATTGATCAGTTCTCCAGCTGCCTTAAAGTTGGAACAGGAAGATGTGAGCTAGAGAAGCAGGACGATATAGAAATGGACACCAGCAGGTAGAAAGTTCCTGGAATGGCCTGGCAAGGTGGAAAAGGTGGTGTTGAGTAATATAGTCTCAGGAGGCAGTGTCCTGGATTCAACCCCCAACTCTGTCCCCTATTGGCTGGGTGACTTTGAGCAAGTTACTTAACCTCTCTGACCAGTTTCTTCATCTAAGAACTGAGAACAGCTGTATTATCCATCTCTGGGGGATTGTCATGAGGATTATATGAGGCAGTGGTGGCACATTGTAAGTACTCAGTAGATGCTAGCTATGGTCTTCCTTCTTCTCCTCCTCATCGTCTTCATCCCAGGCATCTCCTGAAATCTCCACCTACCCTGTGCCGCCTTCTTCTGTGCTGGTGCCACCCAGCGAGACCTGCAGGGGGCACTCCTGGTACACCGCCCTCCTCTCCCAGCCCTCTCGCCTGTGTTTCTTGTTCCAAGTGGAAATATCGAGTTTTCAGCCCGAGATTGGCATCAGGAGGGCTGTTAAAGCCCCAGTCAACATCCCCGTCTCCTGGGCCTGGCCCTGTCACCTGAGCCTTGGGACTGCTAGCCTGCCCTTCTCTGTCCTGCCAAGCAGCTGCTCACGTTGGTTCCACTGTGCCAGGAGCTCAGAGAGAAGAAACCAAACTCCTGGGCAAGAACGTATTTGCATAGAACTGGCCCCATTTCCTGGAGGGGGAAATCACAGGGCTGGCAGCGTCCTCCGGAAGATGTATCAGCCAGCCCCCTGCCTCAGTGCAGGCTGCCTTGAGCGCGGCCTTCCTGACAAAGGGGAACACCACCCCCTCCACTGCTTTATGGATCTGGCAGGTCCTGGACTTTGCCTGGTATCTAACCTCAATTCTTTGTTTATCATTGAACTTGAACAGAGTGAGGGAAAAAAAAATGTTTTCTTAGGTACCAGGATACAGAAAAATAAGCAGGATCCTAGCTTTCAGGTATTATGAAGTAAAGAAAGCAACTTTACGAGGAGTCAATGACATATGTCGGTACAGTTGTGACGATGGGAGATTGGGTTTGGAACTGGAGAATGCTGAGGGCAGGAGGGGCACAGCTGGGGCCACATTGCTGGTTTATAAAGAACCTTGGTACAAGGTAGAAAAAAGGAACCCCCTCTGGGCATATGCACTCCTTATGGCATGTAGCAAGTGGTACTTCGGCATAAAAAAAAAATTAAAAGGGGAATCCCTCCAGTAGACACGACTCCAAGCCATGATGCAAGGAATGGCAAACTGAACGTGGTTCAGTCCTCAGTTTGCCCCCTCAGTGGGTGCCTTAATGCAGTGCACAAACTGTACAACTGTATGTGGCAGCCTTGGGATCAACCAATCTGGGAAGATTTCCTTGAGCAGTATCATGAGACTTCTTAGGTGAAAGGTTGGAGGTGGGAGAGGAAGCATGATGGGGAATACAGGAGATGGCTGAGGATATGAACTTAATGGAGCAGGGCGGCCAATCAGATAGATTATAACAATTTCTATAAATTCAAGGGAGATGGGGCCCTAGAAAACTCAGAGCAGAGGGAGCATAGGTGTGCAGGAGTGAAATGTGGCTGGATATTAGAGTGAAATTGGGAGAAGCAGAGCACAGATCCAGGACACACGGAGCCCCACTGGGTTTCTGAGGCTGAGGGCTTTGCTGGTCTTCTGGCTGAGTTCAGGAGAGCAAAAGGATCAGAACCTTCTCATACACAGGTCTATCTTGCTTTATAGGACTGGAGGAAGTAGACCAGGATTTAAAAGTCATAGACGTTAGAGGTAGTCCAGAATTAATCCTCACTTTACAGGTAAGGGATGGGTCCCAGGCAATTTACAGACAAGGATGGGTCCCAAGTAATTTACAGGTAAGGGATGGGCCCCAAGAGCATAGGCAGAACTAAGACCCAGGCCTCCTGGCTCCTGGTCCCTGGTTGTTTCTTTATTCCCTGTTGCCTCCCTCCTACCACAGTATATTGGGTGTTTTAATAGAATTTCTGTCCATTGGACCCAATTAGAAAGGTACTAGAGAAACCACCTAGTTAAAGAAATTCTGGATAGAACCCTTTGGTAATGTGATTAAGCATCCCCTAACTTATGTCTTATAAATGCGAGTTCTTGTAAATTGCATTTACTGAAAGGAGGTGGTATACCTAAATAATGATCCATTCATGACTTGGTAGGGGGGTGTAGCTCAGTCCCTCTCTTGGATTTCTCCTCTGTGGTCAGGATTATCCAGCTATTAGGTGCCCTACTACTAATGGAAATTGTTCAGCCTTGTGGGGCCCGAACACTAAAATGCCCCTTGGAATCCTGTGGGGGGCGTTGTCAGTATCTCTATTTCCAGCCGATCCCTCTGACTGTGAAATGTTGCCTATTCTGAGCCTCCTCATGCCTCCTGACCCAAAGCTTCCCTCATCCCTTCCGTCCGCACTGGCTTTTCCCAGCAGAAGCCCCTCATACTGCTGCCCACTTGTGGATTCTCCTTCTCAAACAAGTTACTCACCCCTTACTGTCCTCTGTGCTCTGAAGGAGCCCCTGCCCTATTACAAATGAGGTAAAAGAAGAGATGAGGCCAAAGTTGGGAGGAGGGAGTTAGAAAGGAGCAACTGAGAATAAGAAAGACAGAACTTGCTAAAGTGAGGAAACAGAGGGGTGTCCTTAAAAAGAGATGGTTCCCCTAACTGCCATTTTGTGTGGGAACACTGGACATCGCAACCCTGGCAAATTTTTCATGCCGATGTGTGCTCATATGGACAAGTTTATGTTTCAACTATGCAAAATCACTCTAGTATTATCGAGACAAGCTTTGGAGTTCAACGTGCGTGGATTCAAATTCCAAATCGAACACTTTCTAGCTATGTTACCATAGGCGAGCTGCTGAAACTCTCTGAACCACAGTTTCTCCATCTCAAGTAATATGTATATCTTGCGTAGTAAACACAAATATGAATGCCCTATGCCGTTTATTATTGATTTCCTATTGGGCTCCTAGTTACTGTTCTAGGACTTCTTTCTTTTGTAAAAAGACTTCGAAATTAAAAACTGACATTTGATACGTACAAAGGAATGTATACATGATGGATATCTGTGTATATGCTATAAAACGTAATTTAAGAACAAAAGCTCGATTTAAATCACTCTTGTAAAATTAGAAACTTACAGTGCCGTTCAAGCTATCTGTGTCTTTTTCCACAACCTCTGCACACCTGCTGTTATGGAACTTCTAAATGCTTTCTAATTGCTCAGTCCCACTGCCACCCTGAGTTTCAGTAAATGGCTTTTTTGAACTACAGAAGAGTGAAAACCATTTGGAAGGAACTTCTGCAGAGACTCCTTCGCCACCAGGTATCTCTTTCTGCTCCTGCCCTTTGATTCTTTCTTCCCTCCTCTCTCAGAGGAGTACTCCAAATGTCGAGCTGAGGAGTTTGGACTGCGACCTGCAAGCAAGGGCCACCAGTTTGGGGTTTTGATCCAAGGGCACAGGGACTGACATTGTGAATACAGGTTACCTCTTCCTTTGAGACTAGAGAGAAGGGTGAAGGGTGGGTCAAGGTCCTGGGCTGCTAGTGACCTTCCTGATCCTGACAGTAGCCGTGAAATGAGAAAGGATATCCTAGAGACATAGAACAAAGGGAGACTTGACAGAATTTGGTGGTTTTGTTGACATGTCAATGGATGGAACATAGGGTAAGGGTGAAGAGTGAAGATGATTTTTAGCTTTTTAATCTGATCAACTGGGAGGAACACAGAAGTAAGGAAGGAAGTCATGAGAACTCCCAGCCTTGAGGAGGAAGAGGATGGGTTCAGTTTGGAGCCTGTCCAGGTGGGAGTGGAAATCCCCTGCCAGCCACTGGAGCTGTGGAGGTAATGCTCTAAAGAGAGCCTAAGGCTAAAGGTAGAGATTTGGGTATAACTCAGGAACGATAGTTGGAGCCATGTAAGTGACGAAGGGTCCAGGAGCAGGACATGGAAAGAGAACGTAAGACTGAACCTTGGGTATTGGAGGAGGAAACAGCTGTAGGTTGGGGTGCGTAGGGGCAGTGGAAGAAGATGAGGCTGGAATGGCACCAGGTCCAGGTCATAAGAGGCCTTCTTTTCCATGGTTAGGAATTTGGACTTTACTTATAGACAATGGGCAGTCTATGGAAAGCTTAAATCGGGAAGTGACACCGTCAGATTGGTGTTTCAGAGAGATTGGTGTTTCTTCTTAAATGAAGGATTTCATGATCTGACAGATCATTAGAGTGGAGAAAGACTAGAGGTACGCATTAGAAGGCTGCTGGTGAGAGGTGATGGGGTCCTGGACCACTGGCATGATGATGAGATGGAGAGGAAGGGAGTGGGATTTATGTGAT